GCAGGGCCAGGACAGGGTCCTGCAGTGCACGGTACAGCGCCGGAGCATCCTGCCTCTCCAGGGCATCGTCCACCTCCTCCAGAGCTCCGTGCACTAGAGGAGAGGCCAGTTCGCACCCCGAGCAGGTAAATCATCCCGCAGCTCCAGGGAGCAACGGGAGCTGCGGTTGAAGCCTGCATACCGGTCATTTTAATTTCTCCTTGGGAACGCACGCCCAGCCCTGCTCCCCACCGTGCCTGAAGCTGGCCTGAGCAAGCAGCTCCCTTCTGCTCTGCCCCCCACCCTGGGGTACCACGGTCCCACCGATAAGCTCTGGAGACTTCCCCAGAGAGGGAAGCCACAGCTTTGCTCACCGTTCACTTTGTTGATGTTCCCTTGGATTTCCGCCTGGGTCAGACACCGGTCATAGATGTCCTCTCCCTCGGGGATCACCTGCAGGCACTGGAGAGCGAGTCCCCACCCTGAACCTGCCACCCAAGCGCACCCCGGCGGCACGCCGCGGGGTCCTCTGCGGATGCCTGGGCTCGTTTCCCAACCCCAAATCCTGGGTCAACCAGCCCCCAAAGAGAAATCACTTCCCCACGACTTTCCTCCCATCTTCCGCGCAGTCCAAGGGCTCCTCAGGCTGCGTTTTACCCACCAAGCATGGGGACAGCCCCCAGCTGGAAGCACCCACCAGCACATCGGCAAAAGAGCTGCTCCTCTCCCAGACACCCCCCGCCGCGCGCCGCCCTCCTCACCCTGTTCCTGGCGTTGCCGCCCTTCTCCAGCTTCGCCCGGTGGAGCACCTCCTGGTAGGCATCCGCCAGCTCCTCACGCAGGTCGAGAAGCATGGTGCTGGGGTTGCGGAGGGCCACCATCGTCTGCGCTGCCACCCCCCGATCCACCGCTTCGTTGATGGCCAGCACCGCGGCATGGACTGGAGGCGAAGGAGGTAGGTGAGACGGGACAGAGGGTTGCGACAGACAGTCCGCCACGTCCCACCAAGCCACGCCACGCACGATGGTGGGATCCCCCCCTTCTCAAAGAGCAAGCTGCGGTCTCCAGTGCCCGGGAAGTCTCCGTGTCTCTACCGCAAAACCCCGGGTGGTGCTGGCTGGGACGGGGTGGTGCCAGCCCTTGCGGCCGTGCACGGCTCTGAAGGAGAGCATCTCTCAGAGCGTCTCCCGGTTTGCTGGGCCCAGATTTGACGTTTGGGGGCTGAGTCGAGATGCTGTTACAGGCTGATGCCCAGCACCGCTCCCACCCATCACCTGCTGCTTCGTCCACCGAGAGCTCGTTGGCCAAAATGCCTCCGATTTTGCTGAAGGCAGGCAGCTGCAGGCCGTACTTCTCCAGCTCCCGCTTCATGTTGTTGATCTCCTCCTCTGGAGCAGAGCACAGAGGCGTCACCGCTCAGCACCAGCGGAGCCCCCCCCCATTCCCCTGCCAAACCGGAGGGGTGCAGAAAACCCCCACACTGGGACAAGCATCACCAAGGCAGCTTTGGAAAAGCTCCCCCCAAGATCTTCATTCCCCACATCCCTCCCACCACAGGGATCCAAGAGCATTGTTGGCCAACCCTCATCGCCAGCCCCCAGCCCAGGTTCCCCCGTGCGGTGCCGTACCCGTGAAGTCCACTTTCCCGTACAAGTCCTGGATCTGAGGAGCCAGCCCCAGCTTGAAGAGGTACAAGCTGAAAGACGAAGCAGACACACGCCATGACCGTGCCGTCACTTGCTTCTCCCTCCCAACGTTTCTGCAACACCCGAGGCTGCCGCCGTCAAAGCGTTCGTGAGCACGAACACGAACCACGAAAGCAGTTTTGACCAGGCTAAGGACACTCACCTGAGCGCGTGGATGCAGTAGACCACCCGGGGCATGTTCTTCTTGTCATAGATGTCGGTGGTCTCTGGGTGGAAGATCTACCAACAAGACAAGAGATGGCTCCGGTGAAGATGGCACCAAGATGGTCCATAGGGATGGTGGTGTCCAAGGGTGGGGGGACAGAGACCAAGTCCCCCTGCAGCACCAGCGCTCCCCGCAACGAGCCGAGCCGGCGACGTGCAGCCCTGGTGCTGCCACAAGGACAAAGGCCAGGACGTCCCTTGACCCGGGAAGAGCGAGGGAGGGGGGACGTTACCGAGGGAAGCCCCACGTGATTCATGGCATCGCGCCAGTAGTTGATGTTATCCGTGTGTCGAAAGTGAAGCCCAGCTGCCTGGAAGAGAGGAAGCCCAAGGTGAGGCTGAACCCCATCTTCTCCCATCCCTGGGGTCCCCCTCTCCCCCAGATCCACCCAGCCAGGGCACGAGGTTAAAGACAGAGGCAAAGCCTGTGACCCCCCCAGCGCAGCTCAGAGACCCCGTTTCCAGCCCGGCTCTATTAAATTGTCCCTTAAGGATTGCAGTCAGTACGTCCCTCCTCACTTTGCATTCACCAGCGATGGAAAAGTCCCTGCAAGTTTTGGGGTACGCCCTTCGAAACGCACCCCGCAGCCTTACCTTGTACCGCGTCTGCTCGCGGTCGTAGATCTTCTTCAGAGGGACCACGGCGGGGGCAAAGCAGTGGCCCAGCTTGGCCAGGACGACCCCGTTGCGCAGGCTTTCTTCCAGCTCCGTGGGGGGGGGCAGCTCCTCGCTCAGGCAGGCCTCCA